AAATAATACAGGGTGAGCCAAAAGTTCTTCCCACCTATTTTTTTCTCTTCTTTTATTCTTTAATGCAAGAAAAAATTAACTGTACTGAATGAAACCGCCGCGATGAAAGATTCGGCTCGATAAATGACATGAGAATGCACCTCGCAACGATATTTCGCTGGCAAATCCCACAGAGATTTTGAAACGGTGACACCGCGATGCTTCCGGAGTGACGGACAAAGATAATAAGTCAGAACGAATCGTATACATAATTCAACAACACGATATGCAAGACGATAAAAAAAGTAGCGCAAGTTATTCGCGAATGAAACGAGAGGAACGTTTTTCTAGACGACGTTTCACGATTTTCGACGATCGTAGGCAAAATAGGCAAATTTGCTCGTACACAGCGCCGCGAGGTATCGACAACTTCTCATCCCGTTCGACGCAGGAAAAATGGCAATTTTCGCGAGAATTTCTCCAAGCTGAAATCTCGCTTTCGCCGAGTGGCGAGCAGTCGCCGCTGGCCCGACTGGAAATTAAAAGAACACAAACAGAAACGTGGGCCAGAATTCGAGGAAAAAATGAAATAAAATCAAAAAGGAAGAGAAAAAAATATAAAAAAAAGTGTGTGTGTGTGTGTGTGTGTGTGTGTGATAGGAACGCTACGAACGCACCGGGCCAACAACCAGTTCCATGAATACAGGTTTGATTGGACGTCCCATGTCCAATAACGTTGTCGACGTTCGCGTGATGTTGTCGTGTCGCGTTGCCAGCCCGTAGATGGAATGATGTTCGTTGAATAATATCAGGAGGCTCGCTCGAATATGAACGTCGGATCACGGGGGATGATTGGTCCTCCAGGTAGAAACAAATCAATTTGTTCGATCGATCGGCTCGTGATATTTACATGAAATTACAAACGAGGGCGACACTTGCCCTCGCCGGAGACATGTAATTGAGACTAGAACTACCAAATTAATGGTATTTAAGGATTTATAATCAGATATTTTTTTTTTTAGGAGAAAAATTTTGAGGAAAATTGCATGCAACGTTGTACAAATATTGTACAGTATAATTAATTTTTTGGACGTACAACTTTAAAAAATTTGTGTACTTTGATAGAAAATTATTACAGCGAATAACATAGAGAGAGGACTATAACTCTGAATATTTCGCACGTTTCTTTTCTTTCATGCAACGCGCATTCTGTGAAAATTTCGACTTACAAATTTTCCGTAAACGGAGTATAAAAATGCAGAGGGAATGTAAGAACATAAAATTTCATGCATTCATGGAAAATTTAAAAGAATGCTCGCAACATACACGGTATAAAAAAAGAAGAAGAGGAAGGAAATCTGCCAGAATAATAACATTTAACGTTAGAACTATCGACGAATAAAGCGTGAAATAAAGTTGAAAATTTGGTTCAGAGAAAATACAAGCAAAGAGAACTTCATAATACAAAAAGAACGCGAACTTCGATTCGTATATACAGGCTGATTCAGAAAATGTGGCAAGTAGGGCGGGGCTTCGACTCAACGCACTAAAATAAAAAGAGAAATCCGTTGAACAATAATATTCCACGCTAGAACTATCGACGAATAAAGCGTGAAATAAAGTTGAAAACTTGGTTCGGAGAAAATACAAGCAAAGAGAACTTCATAATACAAAAAGAACGCGAACTTCGATTCGTATATACAGGCTGATTCAGAAAATGTGGCAAGTAGGGCGGGGCTTCGACTCAACGCACTAAAATAAAAAGAGAAATCCGTTGAACAATAATATTCCACGCTAGAACTATCGACGAATAAAGCGTGAAATAAAGTTGAAAACTTGGTTCGGAGAAAATACAAGCAAAGAGAACTTCATAATACAAAAAGAACGCGAACTTCGATTCGTATATACAGGCTGATTCAGAAAATGTGGCAAATAGGGCGAGGCTTCGACTCAACGCACTAAAATAAAAAGAGAAATCCGTTGAACAATAATATTCCACGCTAGAACTATCGACGAATAGAGCGTGAAATAATGTTGAAAACTTGGTTCAGAGAAAATAGAGTACAAGGAGCAGAGAAAACTTTATACAAGAAAGAACGCGAGCTTCGATTCGTATATACAGGCTGATTCAGAAAATGTGGCAAATAGGGCGGGGCTTCGACTCAACGCACTAAAATAAAAAGAAAAATCCGTTGAACAATAATATTTCACGCTAGAACTATCGACGAATAGAGCGTGAAATAATGTTGAAAACTTGGTTCAGAGAAAATAGAGTACAAGGAGCAGAGAAAACTTTATACAAGAAAGAACGCGAGCTTCGATTCATATACAGGCTGATTCAGAAAATGTGGCAAGTATGGCTTCGACTCAGCGCACTAAAATAAAAAGCAAAGCTCGTTTTCACTTTTCTATGACTGCTATACTGACCCGTCTCACTTACTTACACTCGTTTCTCTTCATCTCACTCATCTGCATACGGTTTTCTCTTCATCTCACTCATCTGCAAAACCATTCGTTTCCCAATGTGGACTTTCTAAACTCCTCAAACAAAAATGACAAACCAATCGAAAGGATTCGCCGTTTCTAATTGTTACTTTCATTTTCATCTTTGTCCAACTATCCAAAACTTGTCCAATTTGCGACGTTTGCAACAAAATGCACCGCGTTTCTTCGCGAGGGAGGGAGAGAGGGGCGCGATATTTCAACTCTGGCCCGTAGCGCCTGTTAACTCTCCCGAAATCGATGTTTATATTTTCATTGGCGAAATTCTCGCGCTGGTTCCGCTGCCGGAGCCGTTTTAAACGTTTTATCCCGTTATCTCGCGGGGGGATAACAATTTCACCTATTCGATAGAGCAATTCCCGTTGTCAGAGAAAACAGGAAACTGCTCGCGTAGGAAGGGAGAAGAAAGAAAGACAATTTTTTCTTTCGTCAGTCAAACGTTAACGTTAACGTACAAGGGGGAAAGATAAAAAGCAAAAAATGAAGATCGAGATGTCAAAAATCCTTTGAAATCCCCCATCTTCACTTCCACGCAAATTTTTCATGAAAATGATTTGATTCAAATGCAAAGAAAAGCCCCACTTGTGGAAAGACAGAGGAGAAAGGAAATAACATTCGTCGAAGAGGTGAGAGAAACAAAGACAACGTTAAAATTTCTTTTGAGTGCCACACGCTTTTGAAATTTGGCACCAAATTTTTTTAAATAACCCTGTGTTAATAATTAAACTTGACCATTTGAGAGTAATTAATATAATAGCCTTGTTTATTGGTGAAATTTTTGAAAGTAATTTGAGAGTAATTTTACAATAACTTTGTCTGTTTATTGGTGAAATTGTTTGAAAAAGTTTCTACGAAAGTATCCACGTGAAACTGGAAAATGCAGGAAAATTATGCACGTCGATCGTGACAAAGTTATCAAGCCTGAGAGGATTGCGTCGATCTCGTTGAAGAATGAAGGAATTTTGATTATTTGCAACAAGGCACTACTTCAAGTTTCAGAATAACGCACGACGAATATTACACGAGGATTTCGAGAGCGTGTGTGCACGTCTGGAAAGAAGGTTGTCCGAGGCTCGTGGACTGCGAAACATTGTGTCTTGATAGCGCACCGGAATTCCAAAGTAATCTCTGTTCCGATGTGAAAACCCTTTGAAAATCGCTCGCTAACCGGAAAAGCCGACGATGCAATATCCCGAAAGAGGCGGGGCCGAGACTTTTAAGCTCGGTGTTTCATGCATGGCCGGGCTCGCGAGGGCAAATAAAACAATTTCTACAAATACGATTCTTCCTTCTCTTGCCTCGTGTGTGTTTCTCGTTTTACTTTTTACGTAAGAGACCTCGTGCAGCAGCTGTGTGCACAAGATCGAAGAACGTATCGTTTGAAATTTGCGCTCTTTTGTCACTTTCACGCGTGGAATTGCAGGGATCTTGCTTGTATCATTCAAGCAGTGAAACACACATCCCAAATATAGAGAAAGTGTTCTTTTTCTTTATCAATTTTCGGAAACTTGTGTTTCGTTCAGTGCAGGATTGCAGGAATCTGTTTCACTGTCCGAGTAACATGAGAACGCAAAATGCAGAATGCATCTTTCGAAAGTTACTGCGACGTTTGTAATTTTAGTAAATGATTGAATTTGTAAAACTGAGGGTACATTTCTTGTGAAATTTTCACCGACACTTGTAATTTTAGTGTAGAAACCTACTGTATCATCCAAGTAATTGAACAAGTTATCATACAAACAAATGCATGAAACTGAGAATACAGTCTTCGGAATTTCCAACGAAGCTGTTAATAATTTTAATTTGGAAGCAAAGGAAGAGCCTGCCAGCCAAACTGAATGAGAAAAGTGCGAACAGGCTCGCCAATGTGACGTTACCCTCAGCTAGCAAGTATTCTTAGTGAAAGGTTGTGTTCCAGAATAAAGGTACCGTTCCAGGTTAAAAAATTAATTAAATTCCAATTAAATTTCTGCTAGTCAATCTGCGTTTCGGCATCAACCAGAGATTCAATTAGTTTCTCTGCGTGTTATCAATTTTTCTTTAGTGTCATTTATTCGTCCAGAGATGAAAAAATTGAAGAGAAGAATTCCATGGTGTCTGGATTTGATTTTTTCTCAATTCCTGTCAACTAATCTGTCAATTTTTGTCTGTGTTCCAAGATAATGTACTCTAGAAGTTCAATTAATTTTTCTGGACATTATAAATATTTTCTTCACCCAGTTATTTACCCAGAGTCAGATGTGAAAAGATTGAAGAGAGCTTTTCATTCGTAGAATCTGGCCATTCTCTTCCACATTAACGGTTCATCCTTCAATTAATTACTCTTTATTTCATCAGCCTTCGTTTCATTTTACTTATTTATCCAGAGATGAAAAGACTGAAGTAAAACTCTTTCATCCTCGATGATTCTTGTCTCGATCGATCGCTCGTGCATTATCCGCTCTTTTAAAAGGATTTCTTCCTACGTATTCTGCATAGAGAAAGAAAGACGGGACGAGAATGATTCCGGGACGCAGCCATCGGGAAAATTATTACCAGAATATATTTCGCTTACAAGAAGTTTTCTCAATGGCAACTGCCAGTCTGTGACAATAATGCTCGTATTCACTCATCCTCACTCAGCAACACGCATACTCGTTTGTGCTATACAGAGAAGAATTGCGCCCAACGCGGCTGGATGCATCGTTTATTTCATCCACTGTAACAATTGTAGACGTTTCGAAATAAAAATCATACACGGATTTATTCTTTTTCTTTTCGCCATTCCCCGTTAAACTTGCAATGCTCTTCTGATTTAAGAAAAAAAGACAATATATTACACAGCTTTTCTCCGGCTGACTTCACTTTTCGAGGATCGTCGATTAACATAACGACTTGGTTGAGATTCTTTAAAGTAAAGAAGGCAAACGACGTTTCGAGAAATTCTGTTCTATGTTCGTTTTCTATTCGTACGTTTGTGTTCTAATTGTGTTTTAAACGTCATTCCTTTTTTAATTGACTCGTTTTTTTTTTCTTTTTTTTTTTTTTTGCCTTCGAATCACTCTCTTAATAACTGGGACACCTTGTCAAATCACTTCGAATATGAGTCGAAAATTGAAGATCTTAGATCATTTTGGACATCTTGAAAGTTTCGAAAAGTGTTTGACAATTTGAACACTGTGGCCTTTCTCCGATATTTACGTTTGGCAGTTTTACATTGGTTTGGCACTGAATATACTCAAGCTGGCAAACCCTTTCGTAATTTCACGAGTTTCAAGACTCGAGACTAACTAAGAATTTTAATGTTCAAGACTAACCGAGATTCAATATTAATCGGGACTAAAGAATAACAAAAACTTTTAAGTTTTATCAAAACTTCCAAAACTTATGATTAACTAAAACTTTTAATGATTAAGGTATTTAATATATCTTAGATAAGATATAATTCAAGATTAACCAAGAATCAATATTAATAAAGACTGAAGACTAACCAATACTCAACATTAATCAAGAGTCAAGAATAACAAAGACTTTTAAGATTTAACAGGACTTTCAAAACTTTCAATGATTAAAATATTTAATATATCTTGGATAAGATATAATTCAAGACTAACCAAGAATCAATATTAATAGATTGAAGACTAACCAAGGCTCAATATTAATCAAGAGTCAAGACTAACCAAGACTTTTAAGATTTACCAAGACTTCCAAACTTATGATTAACTAGAACTTTCAATGATTAAGATATTTAATATATCTTAGATAAGATATAATTCAAGACTAACCAAGAATCAATATTAATAAAGATTGAAGACTAACCACGACTTTTAAGATTTATCAAGACTTCCAAAACTTATGATTAACTAAAACTTTCAATGATTAAGATATTCAAGATTATATCTTAGATAAGATATAATTCAAGATTAACCAAGAATCAATATTAATAAAGATTGAAGACTAACCAAGACTCAATAGACAAATCAAGAATCAAGAATAACAAAGACTTTTAAGATTTATCAAGGCTTCCAAAATTTATGAACTTTTTATTTTATTTTATAAACATTTGTGAACCAACTGGAACTTCCAATAGTAATTAAGACATTCAAAAGACTTTCAATGTTAATCAAGGCTCAAGACTAACCGAGTCTTTTAAGATTTTCAAACGCCTCGAGACTTTAAAAAGTTCCAAGACTTTCAAGGCATTTGAAATTTAAGACTTTGAAAACTTTCAATACTCGAGACTAACCAAAGCCTTACTGAGCCATTCAAAATTCAAGACTAACTAAGACCCTCAAGACTTTCAAAAACTGATCTCTTCGAAGCTTTCAAGAATTTTGATCTTCAAATCACGTTCAAGGTGATTCGAATTTATTATAAAATGTACAATATAGATTACAAAGTATCTCAGATCTCGTCACTCGTTCGATTTCGTTTCGTTATCGCGCAGTCAACGTCGTAAACTTACTTCGTCGTTATTTCACCGTCGAGAACGCATCTCGTGATAAGGCACGATCAATGATTCTTCGAATTTTGTGCTTGAAAAGAAAGAATTGACTTCATCGTACGATAACGTTCTCGTTTTGATTTCCATTTGAGCAGGTTTGTCCTTACACTCTATGTGTATCCCCGACTGACTTCGTGACCACGGTAACTAGGTGGTTGTCTGCTGGTACACCTACTACGAACTACCGACTCAAAGCTCTCGCCAGAACTAACGTGGAGAAACAAGTTCGTTAACATGCATTCGGTACTCAATAGTAAAAATGTATCAAATTCACTGTTTACGACCCGACGCGTCAGCCCGATCTTTTTAAATCCGTCAGTCTGTCCTTCGTACTTTCGAACAGATAATTAACAGAAAGAAGGGCAGACTGAACGCGAGGAGAATTCTCAAAAATACAGGCTCACGTAACTCTGTGTAGAGGGTTCTGTATATATTTCTCTACGATACTGTTCCTCGCTTAGAGCTCACACTTGAAAAACGAGTCTCTCTCTCTCTCTCTCTTTTGATCACTCGAGTTCTCCATTCCGAGATGAAGCACACGACTTGCAGAATGATTCCTCCTTTCCAAAAGATTTCTTCTCTTTACATGTTACTTTTCTCTCTGCTGGTGTACCATATGCCCATATGAAGCAAGAAATTGTGTCGTTCATTTCTATTCCAGTCAGATTTCTATTTACAATACCTATATTCTCATCAGCTTCCAAACAAAATTCTCCAAAAATTTCCTCCTCTGTTCAATGTATCGTATTAGCTACTCTTCCAGAGACTTGATCATCATCCAAGACAGATTCTCAAGAGATCTCTTCCTTCGTTGAATATACCATATATCCAAGAAGAAATTGTTCGTTTCTATTCCTATTCTTATTGACAAATCTCCCAGAAAACAGAAAGCAAAGATTGGACTGTCCTCTGCAAGCCTCAGCTCAGGTCGCTCCTGTCATTCTTAAGGTTAACGTGGGTCAGTCAGGTACCTCGACGAGTGATGCAGATTGTGATAGGATCTACTTCTCCTGTGATCCCTGTTTAGTTGATTCGCTGGACTCTGAGACGGATACGGTCCCAGGTACGACACTGTTCTCGCTGCTCGCCGCTCCTGCTCGTTCTGCGCTCCTTCCCGACTCGTCCCAGAGTAATCTGGAGGAGGTGCAGCTGCTGGTGCAGCTGCTGGTGCAGCTGTCTGGAACTGCGACATGCCGTAGAGAACTCCTATCGACCTCCTCCAGACGTCGTGCCTCCTCTGGTTCTCCTGCTCCAGTTGACCTTCCCTTCGTCTGCTCTGAGAAGAACCGCTTTCCGTAGAGTTGCTGTCTTCGCTGGTCCCTAGGCCAGGATCCCTGTCCTCGAAGGCGGCTAGGCTCGTCGCGGGACTGCCCTGGAGGCTCTTGGCATTGCCAGAAGAATGATAGTAAGTCAACGTTGGATGGGGGATCACGTAGGGCTGCTGGAGCTTGCAGTTCAGATCCTTCTCGACGTCTTTCTTGTCTGACTCTGTCTTCTCGTCCTTGTAGGACGAAGGGCCGAAGAGAGAGAGTAGAACCGGAAGCAGGAACATCCCGTGCATAGCTCCTATGAATATCACGAGGAACACCATTTTGAAGAACACCATAAAGATGTACGTTCCTGCCAGGACCAAGGCGATCAGGCCGAGAATCGTTGACATTGCCCCTTGCACGATTGGCAGGCCAAGACTGTACAGGCTTTCCTTCACTCTGTCCTCCGGCGTCTTTTGCTTAGAGCTCATGTAAGCGTAGCAAATGTGAGCGGTGAAGTCCACGCTGAAGCCAATGCACATGATCAAATTGATCATGGATATACTGTCCAGATTTACGTCCCACAGAGCCATGTATCCAGCCACGCCCAGCTCGATGGAAATAATGCAGAAGGCCACCCAGAGGCAACACAGCACATTCGGGATGAAGATGAAGCTGATCAGCATCATTATGAGAGCGCCGAAGACCATACATTGGATACTGGTGGGTTTGACCAGCTCGAACTGGTCGAAGAACACGAAGTAAGGGTGAAAGACGCTGGCGTTCAACGGAGACTCGGTGCAAATTCGACGTAGCTCCTTCACCATGTCTTTCTCTTGATTGGTCCCACTGACGTTCACCGCTTGAATGAGAAATCTGCTTGCTATAACGTGTTCCTCGGTTTGGTCTAACTTCACATCCAGAGAGAAGCTGCTTCTAGGCGACAGCCAAACGTCTTTCAGCACGTTGATGAAAGTTTTTTCGTCCCTGATTTCTACATCGGTGGCGCTATTGTTGACGTAGCTGAGGAAGCTTCTCAGCCAGCTCTCCGTGTATATGGGAGCGCTGCTGATGTACTTGCTGGCCTCCAGCGATCTTGTTAGGTTCTCCATTTGTTCCTGAATCACTGGATTACTGTAATCATATTTTCCGCTCACTACCACCTGAAACAAAGCAACGAAAGCTTTCGTTGTCAACCTGCCAACTTCCATTTAAATTTCGCAATTTTGCAAAATTTAAGAAGATTGAAATATCACCAGAGAGAATCTTTCTAGATGTTATAATTTTATTTCTAAATTTTATAATTTTATGATCTTCTATTTAAATTTAAGGAGATCAAAATATCAGAGAGACTGAATCTTTCTAGATTTTATAATTTTATGATTGCAGTATAGTTTACACAGAAATAAATAAATATTTCAATAATTATTTTGAATTAATCAATGGGAAATAATTTCAGTGAACATATTTATTTTATTTTTCATTTCAAGGGCTACTTTGCTTCTCCACATTGATGCAATTCGCACTCACAACGAATTATTTTAATTGCAGACTAAGAAACTTTCCTCGTTTTACTCTCATTTGACGGAGATCTACGGATACTCAGAGAAGAGAATGAAGTATGAAATTATAAAGAGCAAGTTTCTATGAACTTGAAAGTCCCTCTATTAAAGGAGACAGTAATCAAGCGTTTCTCAGCCACGCCTGGTTTGTCAGAAACTGGCAATTACGAGGTTCTAGAGCGGAGAACGTGAATTGAAATCAGAAAAATCGCGAATAGCACCCGTGTCTGACGCAACGACAGTCACTTTTCTTCGGAACAGCGAAGTCGGGAGAAAGTTGACCACGTGGCAACGTAATTACGAGTGGCGAGTCACACGGATGAATCCCTGGAGGCTGATCGCGAGTTCCTGGACCTTGGCCAAGAAGGACTTTCTCGTTCTAGGATCAAAAATCTGCATTCGACTGTGTCTGACTAATAGATTAAACATAAATATGATATATAACACGAATATAATTGGAATTCTTTCATAATTATAAAAATCATATATTGTAATGTATAAAAATCATCAGACAACAATTAATAATAAATTAATGACAATAACCGCTCATAGACGACACCTAACGTTGATTTAGGTTCTCTGATAGAATTCTGCAAATCACATTTATATTGAATTTATAAGTTTAATCACAATTCAGCGAAATTCAGTACTCTCATGCGCCGAGATTGACACAGAGAAGTCAAGAGAGTGTACAGGCAAAATCTCTGAGGTGTTGATAGTGATAAATCAGTCCAGAATTTAGCGTTTATCAGATAACAATCATTGCACCTGTATTCTATAAGGGAATTCCCGGAAATAGTAGTCCTGTCGGTCGTAGAAAGCGATCGAGTAAGAGTCGTTCTTGGAGAGCTTGCGACGATCCAAGCCCTCCTGAAGAGTCGTCAGACCGTAAAGAGCACCAGCGAGGTAACAGGCGAATATCAGGATGATGACGGCCTTCACGGGTCTGCAGTTCAACGCGACAGCCAAGTAATCCCTGAACCAACTCATGCATCCGTGTTCCGGGTTATCGACGGGGTTATACGGATCGTCTGGGTCCACACCGCCGGTGCACAGCGCCCTGTAGAACCACGATTTGTTCGCTGAAAAAGACAATGACGTTCCTTAATTATTTAATCTCCTTGAAACGACTGATTCTTTTAATTATCCCTTTTTTAGGATATTTTTTTAGGATTATATATTATTATTTTTTAATTACTTAATCTCTTTGAAATGACTGAACAAAAATTAACTAATTATATTAATATTATAAATATTAAAGCAACTACTAACTATGTTAATATCATAGATATTAAAGCAACTACTAACTATATTAATATCATAGATATTAAAGCAACTACTAACTATATTAATATCATAGATATTAAAGCAACTACTAACTATATTAATATCATAGATATTAAAGCAACTACTAACTATATTAATATCATAGATATTAAAGCAACTACTAACTATATTAATATCATAGATATTAAAGCAACTACTAACTATATTAATATCATAGATATTAAAGCAACTACTAACTATATTAATATCATAGATATTAAAGCAACTACTAATTATATTAATATTATAAATATTTAAAGAAAAAACTGTATTGTTTCAGAGCAGGTATACATATACACTTCGAATATATGTATGTAGCATTTTCAATAACAGAATATCTCGCTGAAGTTGCGAAATGGCACTTGTTACAAGAACCATAATTTATAATTATAATTAATAGAATTATATGGAAATATATTTTTACTTTATTTTAGAATCATACGTTATGAATATATTTCAGAATTATAAACATGTTTATTCTGTTTTAGAATTAGATTTGTAAGTTATTAGAAGTTGAGTTACGTCCGAATTGTATTGAATATTACGAAATGGTTTTAAAAATTTTGTAGATTTCTTGTTCATATTTTAAAAGAAAAAAAAGTTGGTTGGCTTCGTTAGATCAATTTTTTGAGTCAATTTCAATATCTCAGAACACTACTATTGTGACATAGTTCCCTAAAAAGGGCATAAAACAAAAATGAGAGTGGAATATACTTTTAATTAATAATACAATACACAATGTATCAGTGTAAGTCATATTTATTGTAACCGAAACAACTCGATAATGGAAAACTAACTACTAAAATTTGCTATAAAATAAATTTCGTTATCTACGATCAAATAAACTGAACTATTCATCTCCTCGCCGACACTGCGGAAAAATGATGATCAAGATTAATTCAAATCGTTAATTCCGTGAGAAATTTCTCCCACTGTCTCTCTGGCATTGAACCTCGCAACTAACGCGATGTAAGAAAAAAAAGAAGGATGAAATTGTTTGTTCCGGCAAGAACAAAGGCGATACGCATTCGTTTAACAATTGCACGCGCCGAGTGACAATGTTACATTAAAACGCCAAGCACGCGCTCATGATAGGGACAATCGGTTTCCAAGCATGCGTTGACAACGTCGCCACCTTTGTTGACTGTCAATTGTCAATAATTCTTCTTTGATCACGGTGCCAATTTTTAATGATAAACTCCGGTGGACCTTGAACCTATGGAGACACCCGTATAAGGACACACACGCGTGTAAATGACGATAAAAATTCTCTAGCAATTTAATGACACAAACGACACCAATTTTGGAGGAACTTGTTGTTAGTCACAGGATGAAGAAATTCTTTGATAATAATAAGTTTAACGAGTCCAAGTGAAGGACAAAAAGTAATAAAAATTTGTAATGAGAAGTTCCGCTGATTTTAAATTTTTGGAGAGTCAAATGTATAAAAAGTCTTCAATTTAATTTAACAATAACTATAACGATTCAATGGATTTAACTTGACGGCACAAACGATGGGAATTTTCAATGAAAAGTTCCACCGAATTTGAATTTCTGGAGAGATTTAATCACGTCATGTTTAATATTAAATGTATCTTAATAATAATAATTGGTGAATTTAATTTAATAACAATTAATGAATTTGATTCAGTGGCACCAATTTTTAATGTTAAATTCCACTGACTTGGAAGTCTCTGAAGAAACTTGTCACACGTACAAAAATAAAGCCAGAAATTCTTGATGTGATTGCTCCACGTGAATCATTTCCTTTGAATCATTTCTCTACACTCGTGATGATGAGTGAATGATGGAAGATGAATCATGATGAATCGTCTTGTCAAACTTGCAGAGAATCGCTTTAATCGAGGATCAAGCAATTATTCATCACAATATTATAACTATATATATTATACACTTCAAAAATTATACGTTACACTTTATTAAATTGTATACTTGTTATATAGTTCACGTTATGGATTGTACTTTAATAATTGAAAATTCCAAATAATATCAAATGACAGTAAGAGAAAAGTTTCAGAAAGTTTTAAATAAAATGCAATAAATACGTCATAAACTGGATTGGCAGTTAATTTTAAACTACCTGAAAAAGTCTAAATTAACTATAAGCCAACAACAATCAATAACAATTGAAAATTACATAGCGGTTGTAAGCCACTAAGCAAAAATTCGAAGAACTATCTAGTTCGATGCCAAATTTCCACGCTTTCCAATAGTACCGATTAATAATTAAGAAACAGTCGAACATCGGTCGATTGAACAAAATGATCATTAATGATCCTCGATATTGCTACTTTCACTAGAGTTCCGAATACAATTATCTTCGCGAAGATAGACGAGGAACACTTTATGTATCTTCCTTTCTTTTTTAACCATCGAAAGCAGGAAGAAATTACGCAAAAACTGGCGAGATGACATTGTTCATAACTTGTGGACAATGTCTCAAGAGAAAGTGACGAGGTTACGTAACAACAACGGTGATCTAACGAATTAGCGATGCTCGGACGTAACTCGGGCTTTTTCTCACGTAACCGAACACTATCCGAGATCCAACATGTTTCGATTCTTCGTCAGATTGGCGAGAAACAGAAAAAAAAGCACCAAAAAAAAAAAAAAATACAATTTTGAATTGAAAAGAATCACACGCCGATTAGCCTGTATTAGTCACGTCGAAGCGATTTGTCGTCTAAACGAGAGATTTAACACGTTTAATTGAAACTACCGATGACTAAAGTGTAAAATTTGTAGCAAAGAAATTAAAATTAATTTTATAATACAATACACAACGTTATTTATATATTTATATATTTTACATTATTTATTATTTATTATATTTTTATTATATTGTATTATATTATATTGTATTGTATTGTATTATAGTGTATTGTACTATATTATATTGTACTATATTGTATTGTATTGTATTATATTATATTATATTATATTATATTATATTATATATTTTGTTACTTATTATTTATTATATATATTATATAATATATATAATATATTAAATATATTTAATATATATTACTAATAATATATTTAATATAATTTAAATATATATTATTAATAACATATTAAATATTATACAATATATTACAATATATTATATATATATTATTATTTATTATTATTATATTATATTTTATACTATCTATTTATGTATCCTACTAAAAATCATTCACTCTGAAAACACGCTGCTGAATATATAGAATTTCTATTTCTAACTTTATACACTTAAATTAGAGAGTTTAACCATTTTGGTAGCGTTAAGCTGACAAGACTTTGCGAAGAGAATTGTCCGAAATCTGTGATCGAAAATTGAAGAGAACCACACATCAAAATTATGAGTATCGTCAAAGCGATTTATCGATTGGTAACCGGTCTGGGGGATAGCAAAGGACTTCCTGACGCATCAAACTACAATTTATAAATCGTTTTGGAGAATTAACAACGGTTGGTCAGGCTCTTCCGGCTTTCACGATCGAAATGGCCAGCGATTCGCAACGGCTTTTCCCTTTTAATACTCGCCTGCCAATTTCTAAACGCGAAACAATGACAATTAGGCGACTATCTGTTTTAATTCTTTGGTTTATGTTATTTCCTTTGGAACATTCTTCGAATACCTATTGTTAGTTATTATAAGTTACTTTTGTTAAGCCATTGTATCAAAAGTTTTGTATGACTGGGGATTTTTATGCAAATTCATAGTTTTCTAGATATAATTGTAATAATAATAATGGAACCTAGATGCTACACAATTACTTTGTTCTCTAATAATATACTAATATATTAATGTATATAATTAATAATATATTAATATATATAATTTATTAAATTGTTACCAATATTGATTACCTTATTAATATATTTACTAACTTACTATGTTATTTATATTTATGTTACTATGTTATTAGTATATTTACTTTATTACATAATTAAATATACTTTATAATTATTATACGTATATCGTATAATTTATCAATAATTCACTTTTACCTTGCAATCAGTTACAATAATCAATTTTATCGTTAATATAATCCATAAAATTTACTAAATTAATGCAAAAGAAAATGAATAATTAATCGTACAAAATTAATAACTGGACTAAACTGAATCAATAATAAAAGTCCACAATTTCTATATTCAAACTGATTCGAAGTATAACAACATCTAAAGTTCTAACAACCAGTGAATTCAATCTGTTTTCAACGTTCTCATACAGCGACAATTAACACACCGCGAGCTGTCTGAACTCTTGTCCTCATTCCCGCCTCAAATTTCTCAATTCCAACTTTTGAAGAAAGAAAAAAAAAAAAAACAGAAGAAGAAAACCGGACAAAACTAGTTCGACAAGTTCCTCGAGACAGCCAACACATTTGGAGAAACGGCGCTGGAAAACGAAACTCGAAGTGGATACACCCGACATGATATTTATGTATGCATCTTCACGCAATGCCCATTCTGTTTCTTTCTTTTTTCTTCTTCGTCTCTTTTTTCTTTTCTTTTTTTTTTTTTTTTNTCTTTTTTTTTTTTTTTTCGTTGCATAACTCGTTCAAGAACTCCACGGACGTCGCGGGCAAAAGTAAGAGGAGTTCGACGATCGTGCGTTGCTCATTTCGGTTACTACATCCGACGTAACCATCCTGTTTACGTGGTACGTGTACGCACGTGACGAGGGCAAGCAGGAGAGCGATTTAATGGCCATAGAAGACGTTACCCGGAATACTTTCACAGACAGCGGCTGCTCGAACGAACGTATCGTTGGTTTTGTTTGAACTTTCATTTACAATATTTCCCGCTCGCCGCCGGGACTTTCTATGCTAAGCAGTCGTTACTACGCCTCGACTTCCTACGGACTGTTGTTCCCTGATTTTCATTTCATTTTCACCTGGCAAGCCGCGACAGAAAATCCTCTGATCTACGATCAGTCGACTGAAACTCATTCAGCGACTTTGAATTTCAGACAGATCGTTTGAACTATGTTTGCGAAATATTGTCGATTATTAACACACCGAATGTAACAATTATATTATGTTATATTATATTATATTATACTATGTATATTATATATACTATATATGTATATATATTATATATCATATATATTAATTATAATATATCATAATTCATTGCAAATATCGTATCACATTAAATTATTCCGTTAAGACACTCTTTTACAATATTATTTGTATAATAATTATTATATAATAATTGACAGATTTGTGATTGCAATTTACATTGCAAAATTACAAAAGATCATAAATTGACAAACCGATTGAACAAAACTCAATTCAAATTAGAAAATTACAAACTGCAGGTTGTACTATAATTTACAATGATATACGAAAACGATACTGTTATATCATTCAAATGGCATAACAAAAATTACACCAAGAGTGACTAACGGGATAATTTCAAGTTGGACAGTTCGTTAAGTAACATATAATTCGAATTTACTTATTTCTCCATGTTCAAAGGACTGAAACGACTCACATGATTTAGAGAGGGGCTGCACCTTGCAGCACACGACACTGTGAAGGTTCTTCTGCTCGCAGTAACCACTAATCGCCACGCAGCCGGTGAAGAAAGTCAAATGGAAGACAAAAGTGAAGACCACGGCGAATCCTGGCCAACAATCAAGCGATAAATCATTTTAACCGAGCGCGAAACTTGTCTTATTAATAGACCGTGGATTTTCATGCATTCATATAATGAAAACGCACGCAATTGTATATGCAAAAACGCACGAGTTATATATAAAATATGCAAAGAAGAGCGTTAATTATAATTCTGTGTATAAAAAAAAATAATTATAATTATTATAATATTATAATATATATTATATATAATATTAATATATATTATTATATATAATATTAATATATATTATTATATATAATATTATAATATATATTATAATATTATAATATTATAATTATTTTTTTATTATACACAGAATTATATTATAATATATATTATAATATATTCAATATTATATAATATATAATTATATATTATATAATATAATATTTAATTATATTATATATATACTATATATTATATAATATAATATTTAATTATATATTATAATATTATATATATACTATATATTTTATATATGCTATAAAATAATTATAATTATATAATTATGACAATTATAATTATAATAACCATTACAATAATTATTAAAAATAATTACAATATTAAAAAAATAATTCTATCTATAAAAAAAAGATAATTTTCTCTTTTCACTTCGTTGACAGTGTTTGTGAAAAATATAAAAATGCATGTGAGAATCCGCGGTCGTTGATGTTCAAGTAAAATCGCGCGTTAGAAACCTGAGTAAATGCAGAAGATCTGCACAGAGGGGAAAGGTGAGAGGATGCCGATGAAGAACGATATCATGTCAGTCAAGGATGTGATAGTGATGGAGACGGCTGCCTCGCTGAGAGTCGCGGCCATCCTTTCCGGCACCGGTTTCATTATGCTCGTTCGTCTCCAAGCTGCCAACATGACGAACGTGTCGTCGATCCCGATACCTGCGAACAATTTAACCATCTGATCAGCAGGGAGTGACATCAAGTTGATTAATTGCAGCGAGCAAGCGTTAGTTAGAAGGTTATTATAGTAACAGTAACTGTATAGTGTAATTTGTTTCTCGTGAATAAGATTATTATGAGTGGTTGTGACACGTGTCAGACCACGATTTAATTTCAATCTATTTCACGCAACTGTACTTTCCGCCTTTTCATTGAACTTTGATCTTGATCTGAAACGTCTAATCTGAATCAGTCGTTTCAATGTTTCAGTTTAATTGCAATTGTGAATTTTAATCTCGGCTTTCAATACTCGGCTCAATCTCAATTCTCGATTCTCGTATTTTAATTTGATTCTAATTTCAATCGCTTTCAGCTCAATTTTAATTTCAAATTTTAATTTCAAATGTTTGGTCCGATCTCGAGTATATTTCAATTCGAACTTCAACTTTTTCCATTTAATTTCGAAAACGAAATTACATCCCCTTGATCCAGTAACATTCCCTCAATTCAATTTCATTTTTCCATCATAACGAAACGTTTCGCTTTCCATTGCATTTACCTTGCAATCAAAATAAAATATTTAATTCGACTCAACTTGACTTTCCTGTACAGACATTTCTTTTCTATCGTAGAATGAAATTTCTAAAGATGATAAATTTAATCGCTTCACCTGTTCCAGAGATCGCAGCTTCTGTTTCCAAGTTGCGTATTTCTTTTCTCCTTTTTTTTTTTTTTTTTTTCTTTTTAATATCCACAAAAAGAAAATTCAAATTACAGAGGATCGAAGAGCTGTAAATTTGCAAAAAAAAGTCCGATTCTCGATCTACTTTTCATTGATCGACCAGTGATGAAATATAAATTGTCAAACAGCCCGCGGTTTATTGATTTAGTTGCTAACAAAAGTAACGCAATGAAGACAGTAGAAAATAAAACGTGACACAAGCCGAGTCATACTGGGAGAGCGATTTGTCGCCGTGAACATTCCTCCTCCTCCCCCCTTCGGTCCCTGTGTCGGTATAAAAACGACCACGGTGCCATTATCGTGATAACAAGGCGGCAGTTAATGCGTCGAGTGAATCAGAATGGCTGGCTTATTCGTGATTCAGCCCGTCTACATTTGGACGGCGATTTATAACCGCTAATAAACCGCGTTTATTCAATTTCAAGCAAGGACGAACGATTTCCAGAACCCTTGCCCGCGTTTCGCCCCTCCGAGAGGCTTTTCCACTCGATGATCTTCGACTTCCGATTATGCTTCGCAACACCGATCGCTTTTGCATCTTTAAATTTGTGTATAATATATATTATGCGTACCTTCAAATTTATCTAAATATATATATATATATAATATATAATAATATATATTTATATATAATATATAATAATTAAATATTTATATTTAATATATTTATATTTATACAAAATATATTTATAAATATTTATATTTATATAAATTTAAATATTTATATTTTATATATTTATAAATATTTATATTTATATATAATATATATAATAATTAAATATATTATATATATATATATATATATATATATATATATATATGTGTATATTATGCGTACCTTTAAATTTATCTAAAAAAAATATGTAACTTTACATAGCAGGTACTTTTAAATAACAAAAAATGACAAATTTCCAGAGCTGGACAAAACAATTGATTAATGAAGATCTTTCGACTAACTTTCGACTAATTTTATCAATCAATCAAATTAAAAATTTTAATCGACAAAGGCCAATTTTCGTTGAAGAAGATTAAGAAGAAGAACTACTGTGAGAAAATTAACTCTTCAGTCTGTACACTGTACCGATTTCTCCGCAACGTTTGTCAGAAGTTTCGATAATAATGAATTTTATTTTTAATTTGCTTCATTCCGCGTCATTTTGGAGGGAACCAATCAATCCTGATCTTCAACCACAATTTAACGATGAATTATACTTTCCATTTGTTTGCGGAGTATCGATTTTTAAAAAATTTATAATTAATCTTATTAACAAAATTGGACATACTGCACATACTTATCGTGTGAAAATATTGAAGAAACACTGAAACATTGTATAGAAATACTATAGATATTTTCATCTAAGCCTGAAATCTTGAGCCTGTTCTCATGGAAATATTCTAAATTTCTAGTGACAAAATCTTACTGTTAATTCACATTGATAAAAGATCGGTAAATAAATGTTATTATTACCAATTGCTACGAAAGAGATTGGCCCCTCAGCTTCAAGACTGCGAGGATCAACGAGATGCATAATAACAATAATAATAACTAATCAAAGATTGTGTACACTAGAGGGAAGCAACCGAGTCGTAACGCAATGGTCATTGACGAAATTGTTACGAAATCCGAGCCGATCGCAGAAACAAGCTGGAAATGGGCGAACACCGAGTGATTTACGTGAAAAGCGGAAGTCGCCGTCGCGACTTTTCCCTTCCGTCGTTACGCTCGTTTGCACCAGTCAACCACGATCACTGTACCGAATCTCGGTTGAGAAATCTCTCCTTGTTCCTTCTTTTTCAATCACCAGCCTTTCCAAATGTATTCTTTTTTTCGATTTTCATTTTTCACTTTTAATTTTTTTTTTCTTTCTCTTTCCTCTTAGAGGTAAATTTTTGAAGATGCAAAAGTACTCGATACGAAAAATTATGGAAGCATAAAATTCAAATTATTCGTCTCTGATGAGATTTATACAGAAAGAGGTTATTTACGAAATTAATTAATTAATTAATTAAATAATTATGAAATATTTACAGCGTTACGTCGGTTAATTTGAGGCAATTATTTATCTTCACATTGAACGAAACGTTTCGTTTGATTTTACAAGTGCGAGTTGACACGTTTCGTGGAATTTTTACGAATTTTGAAAAACCAAGTTATTAACAATGCAGTTATTAACGCGTGCAATTATTTCTAATATTTCTCAACTACTAGTTATTAATTCAATTAACGATGAATATTATTAATTTAATAGCATTTTTAACGCACTTGTACACAAGTGCACGGAAACGTACAAAATGTCCAAGGAACTTCGATAAAAAAAAAAAAAAATTGCGAATTGATAATTTCAATCACTTTGATAATTCCTCATAAACTGATCGTTTGCTGATCGTATTAATATTCTTATAATGCAATTCTGCTAATTTAAACGACAACTATCCCTAAATTACAAACGAATATAATTATCGTTATTTCAAACGATACAAGAATTAAGAAGAAGGAAATATTACACGAGTGAACGTGTCACGAAGAATATCAATTTTAGCAGGAATTTTGCCGCGTTCTACGAATTACAATTTTCGACAATCATTCTTCCAATTAATGTGTTGTCACAATGCAACGTCAGTGATCATTCGAGGAGTTCATTCGAGTCACATCAAGCTGTGGTTTCGTTCACGCTCATTCTCAGAATCACTCTCCTGCATCCGCTGCATCTTCAGACTCGCGACCATTCCGATAATCTGGAAAACACGAATCGAAAACCACCAGCGGGAGTCTAAATTTTATTTTCTCAAAGTTTCATCGAGACTTTCAGCGCGTCGTAGAATTTAATACTTAACCCACATTTGACGAGTTGCGTCGCGAACGAAAGTGCACTGAACGTTAGTGAAAAGCGGTGCATTACTCTTTTGTAAAAATTCCACAGACTCGTCTGTCTCTACGCTCAATGAATACTGATCAACTATCGTTCTATGATCTTCTTCCTCTTCTGTTCTTCTCGGAGGAAAGTTGCGCTGTTTCTTTGTCTCATCATCCGTCCTGTATTATTTCCTTCTTATACGTTTTCTGTTATACAATCTGTTATTCCAGACGCTGCAACGAGCGTTGCATTTCTCTTAGCTTCTGATCGTTCGTCGTTGAATTTCGGATGGTCGTGCAATTTAATTAAACATTCAATATTCAATTTAATTTAACCCAATGTCTGATCCAACTTTCGACGTTTCAATTCAACTTAATTTTTGTCAAAAACCCAGCACCAGGCAGCTTTCTCTAATTTATAATGATTTCAATATTGGAAATATAACATTTATTATATTTCTAATAAAATCATTTCAACGTGAATGATCTATTCTTCCCCTCGTAAATGTAATTCGTTCAGGATCTAAGTACAGTGTATACACAGTGTATCAATTCCTTGAGTAAGCCTATTATTACAATGAAGAATTAATTTCTCGAGCCACTGTAAGTATCGTTTATGACAAATAAAGTACAATAACCTACATTACTTACATCATCTATGTATCAGAGACAGCTAACTGGCGACCCGTGCCCCTACTCTCCTAATCTACCCCCTCCACTGCACTAAAATTTCCTCGCCTCTCTTCTCATTTCAATGTAGGGGAAATCGATGCAGTGGAGGGGATAGCGCTAGCGGAAAGTAGGGGAAACGACCCGTGGGGCCGCCAATTAGCCTCCTCTGATCTATATAACGAATAAATAAACAAATAGTTAACCTTACTTTCACAATAAAGAAGCAACGTCACTGCTGAACGAATTCCCAGACAAATGAAAGAATTTTTAAAGCAAATCCGGCTCTTCTTCAGGTACGAATTCAAGTTGAAAATGCCGCGCCGACTCACCGATCATGAGGAACGGTGCGGCCAAATTCAAGCCGATGAAGTCGACGCCCAGGTATATGCAGAGGCCAAACGCTGCAACCGTGGCCATCGCCGCAGAAACGTTCCCGAGGAGACCCAGCCACGGCTTGCTGCGCACCCAATCGGTCATCATGCACGTCACCACGGAGAACAGAGCCATGAGGATGAACGTGCTGGAGAAATAAGGCACTATGGTCTTCGTGTTCTCCTCCAGTTCCAGTTCCAGTGTCCTCGAGGCGAATCTGGCGGTGGCGATGTGCTTGAACATGTTCCCTTCCTCCACTCTCCTCAACGTTTCGAGAAACGCTTCTTCCCAGGCTGCTCCACTGTTCGTGACAATGCAAAACCGAATTACTATTTGAAGACGATGAAATAATATGCTATCGTTATTGTGAAATAAGAATAACAAGTAATAACTAAATTTATAATAGCGTCTGTTATTTTAATGATAATTTAATTTAAAATAATAGACACTGCTATTATAAAATTGTAATTGGGATTAGAATTAAAATTAAGAAACTGAAGTACTGTCGCAAGAATTTACGTACACAGCCAATTCAGAAAAATTCTTCGCTATAATTTCAAACACATTAGCATTGATGTTGATACTAGTTAATGGGCATTGATGATACTGGTATTGACATTAATATTAATTAACTTAATTACTCGCTGATACTCATCGATCATCATGTGTAACAGATATTGCGTAAATCATACTTGTGTAATAATAGTATTTAGAAACGTAAAGAAAAATCAATTTACGGTGACTCTCATTAGCAATAATGCAAGAGAGATGAGATTGGAAGAGTCACGTAACGTTTAATATATGGATCATTTAATGTAATTCGTGTGATTAATATTCTCGAACATCTTCAGAATTCTTTTGACGTTTACTTGATCAATCATCTAAAATCTGATCTATCAATTAATTAAAATACTCAGTATTGTATAATTCATTAAATATACACGCGCACGTTTGTAACACGTTTGATATAAGCAAAAAAAGATTCGAGATCCAACTTACATCGCATCCTGACGAGCATTATCGGCTGTGAGGAAGTACGCCAGTTGCATGGAGGGCACAGACTCGATGATCAGGTCCTCGTTGATAACGCTACCTCCGAAATAGACTGGTAGCAGGTGGATGTCCCAAGTGATGGGGTTCAATGTCACGGGGAACGTCAGGTTCAGCTCCCTCTTCTCCACATCCCTGCAAAATGCTACCGACTACTTAGACCTCCAAATAACACGACAACTGGTCTTAAAAATATTTCTACCCACTAGTCTTATTTATATTATATTAGATATAATTATTAGAATATAATTATTGGAATTATTTTAGAGGATGTTAAAATTAAAATTGAAATTAACGTCAGAGTTAATATAAAAAAAAAAAAAAACTGAAACATTAAAATTGATACTGTCTTAAAATTAAAGTTCATATTCGAATTAAAATGCACATTAAAATTGAAATTGAGAGTGGAATTGAAACTAAAGCTGCAATTGAAAATACTGTTTGAAAATTGAACAGATCAACGTGTCACACTGAAATATCCCTAATCAGTTGTCAACCACACAATTACAGCAATATACTTACTCTATGACATGATGTAGGTCCAGAATGTCGTTGTTGAAACACGTGTCCAACCATTTGGCACAGATCTGACTGTAGGTGAACTCCTCCCCTTCGTAGGTGGCTTTCGTGTTTCTAATCTCTTTGTCCAGCTGTCTAAGTTCGTCGAACACCGCTGCTCTCAGCAAATTCTCGTTCCCGTCCTTCGACGTAATAATCACGTGACCGAATCGACCTGATTCGAACCGAAAAAAAAAATATATATATATATCACGTTAATTATTTAAACTTACAGTCAAACCATCACAAATGATCGAATATTTGCTTGCAATCATGTTGCAAAAGAAAAACCACGTCGCAAGGGTTAATTAGCAATGGCTCAATGAAACGTGAAAGTTCTCGGACTAATAACAAACTATCCGCCGGTAATTCATGCAGCACGAAATCACGCACAATGCAAACAGGGAAACGTTGAAGTCGTTGACGCACTTTCTCCTTGAACTTCGCTGCTGTTATGCTCTGTTCGCGGAATCACACCGACGGATAACAAATGTGTCATTGTTGTTGATCAATCATCGAATTATGATTGAAGAGAAGTCGAGTACTCTTGAAATTTAATTTCGTACTTTTTCAAATTTTTTTCAGATCCGATTGTTTCTGTTTTAGCGTAAAATTGGAGCAACGTCAGCAGTGGAGAGATTGTAAATTAAAAATATACTTATTTAAAGTATGGTCAAGAATTTAAAATACCAATAGCGATATAAATAACACAATGTGATTATTTAATGTGTCTGTAACTTGTATTTGTAATTTTAATGTAATTCAATACCTGTTATGATTAGTTTGATAATTTTATATTTTGTATTATTATGATTATTTAATACCTGTTATGATTATTTTGATAATTTTATATTTTATATTATTATGATTATTTAATACCTGTTATGATTATTTTGATAATTTTATATTTTATATTATTATGATTATTTAATACCTGTTATGATTATTTTGATAATTTTATATTTTATATTATTATGATTATTTAATACCTGTTATGATTATTTTGATAATTTTATATTTTATATTATTATGATTATTTTGATAATTTTATATTTTACATTATTATGATTCTTTTAATAATTTTATACTTTATATTATTATGATTATTTTGATAATTTTATATTTCGTTTAACTACCGTATTAATTATTTATACACTGTATTAATAAATAGGTACAAATAATCAGCTCTTAGTATTATATTTTTACATAATTAAAGAATCTTGTTTATATATTTATAAAAGAAACCAACGTGCAATATTTCTCATGTACATACAGACATTTGAACGATAGATAAAATTAATATCAATCACAAACATATGAGTTTGTATAAAAATCGCCAGCTTACTCACGATTAATTAACAAATACAGTAAAAAGGGGCATATTTTCAGGTACGTGTACAAACTGAATAACGCAAAATAAAGTGAAATAGAAATCGTCAAAGTTTTCGGGAAATTTTTTTTTCAGAAACAGCGAGATTTCCTCGCTCAACACGTCAACTCACCTGGCCTGGTGATGCGGCCGAGGTTGAATTTATGGCTGTAATTGACCTTGAAGTACTGCTCGACGATCGCCCTTTCCATCTTGCTCGGCCCATTTGTCGGTGAGAAGAGATACTCCGGGTCTATCTCGTAATGGATCCTCTGGTACCCGGTGAAGCAGATGCAGGCCAGGAGAACCGGAACTATCACGAAGTAGCCGGGATGGTGGCCAACCACCAGGCCCAGTTTGTGAAACGCTCGATTTAGGAAATCGTCCACGCATGTCAGGTTGTTCCACATCTGGAACCAGCAACCATTCGATAGAGTGAACCGTTTTATTGGAAGGATTAAAACAGAGCATGATGGAACTTCGTTCAAATTTTAATCAACGCCCGATTTCAATCAGAACAGAATACGCCAGGATTTGGATTTTTTTTTTTTTTGAAACAGAATTGTTCGAAAGTGGTGTTCGCAACTAATAGCAAGGTATAACAGTAATAATAAATAGTCATTACTTATCGACTACTTAATGGACAATAGTCAAACAATTATTGAGAGCAATGTACAAATATCTACATCTTCATAAAAATAATATTGATACGTAATATTATATATAATATAACGTCAGTATGTAAATGTTGTTGCATATAATATAACGTCAGTACGTAAATGTTGCATATAATATAACGTCAGTTCGTAAATGTTGTTGCGTATAATGTAACGTCAGTACGTAAATGTTGCATATGATATAACGTCAGTACGTAAATGTTGCATATAATATAATATCAGTACGTAAATGTTACATATAACGTCAGTACGTAAATATTGCATATAATATAACGTGAGTACGTAAATGTTGCATATAATATAACGTCAGTACGTAAATGTTACATATAATATAACAAGAGCACGTAAATGTTACATATAATATAATGTCAGTACATAAATGTTACATATAACATCAGTACGTAAATATTGCATATAATATAACGTCAGTTCATAAATGTTGCACATAATATAACGTCAGTTCATAAATGTTGCATATAATATAACGTCAGTACGTAAATGTTGCATATAATATAACGTCAGTACGTAAATATAATATAATATAACGTCAGTTCGTAAATGTTAATATAATGTAATAATAATAATTATAACATCAGTACGTAATATTACATTATAATAATATTAATAGAAATATAGAAATATAATGTGTATTATATAAATACATCTGCGGTTCATCATCTAAAAAATCATCGTATAGACATGTATACGAATTTTTCTTCAGAGAATCTAAGAAACAATACTTATAGTTGGGCAAATTATAATTTGATTATTATTAGATCAGTCGTTGGATCACCACGTGTGTGCTGCCGAGTTAAATGAACTCTTGTCGAATCTACTTGTTTGAAATCTGATCTCCTATATACTATATTATATATAACAAATACTACGACTAACATACTAAATACTAGTATATTAATATATACTGTACTATATTACATACTAGTAGAGGGAGAAGTTTTGTTATATAAATCATTTGTCCTCCGAGAAATTCACATGAACGAAGTTCCATTGTGCATAATGTAATAAATGACACTAGAAGAAGGTTTAGGGGACAAATTAATGATGCGAGATAATTCAGAATTTTAGAGAGTTATACTCAAGTGTTAAGAAAAATTTTCTCGTATCGAGAAGGAATGTCACTACGTCTTCTAAATGAAGAATACATTTAACATATTTGCTTTTTCGCGAAAAGTATACCTATTCATTGCATTAGCTTCTTAAACGTCAGTATTCATTTGCAGTTCTTTTTTCTCGAGTCTATAACTGCACAAATATACAAGAATAATATTTCGTGACGAACTATATTGCTCGATCTTTGATAAAAATTAATTATTATGACGCTCGAGCAGGGGATATTGACAACCTTATTTTATAATGTATCGATAAAGATGCCTGGAATTTAGTATTCCGCGTTGTCTCCTGAAACTTACAAAAGTACCGACAGAAAAGAAAAATAAGAGAAAAAGTACAAAAGTACAAAAGTACCGACAGAAACAAATAACGCTCGCAACCTGTCCATTCTTTTATGGCTGAACACATTGTGCATACAATTGGAGGTTGTACAATAACTAACAGTAATTCCAAAGAAACCAGTTCGTGCGTCGAGCCAAAGCAAATCGACGTCGTTTAAATCTTATAACTGGACTACAGATTTTTATATTATATATAAAAAGTAATATACTATAGTAAATAAACATATTATAAGTAATATAATATAGTATTATATTATAAGTAATATAATGTAGTAAAAAACATAAATGTATATAATAAATTATAATACATCTAATATTATATAACAATATAACATTAGATATATTATAATTTATTATATACATTTATGTTTATTTACTATATTATATTATTTATTATATACATATTTTTACTTGTCACACATTTAATACATCATTTTAATATTCATTATATTTATCAAATACATAAATAGTATAACGTTTCATGTATTTAATAGTATTATTATATTACGACGTGTTACTACGTTTAATACCAAAGAATTCGATCGAAAGGAACTCTCTGTCCAGCTCGTCTACCTTTTCAATCATTTCGCTCGAAAACGTAACTCTGCATATATAAAAATCCGCGCAGTCCATTTCTGACATAATTACTCAGCAATCCCGAGCAGAGATATACCACTCTCGGGAAAAAAAGAAGAACGAGAAAAAACGGTAGAAAGTGTTGCGTAAATTGTTCGTTCGAGGAGTAGGAATAATAACATTAACGACAAATAACGAGAGTTACATGTCGCAACGCGGAATTTCGTAGGAAATTAGGAAAAGAAATAAACGACGAAGAAGGAACAGGTGGGAAAAATTTGCGACGTAACGTTTAAAGGAATAATTCGAATGCCAGTGTGGCGTTACGACCGTCCGATCAGCCGTGGCGAAATTACAGAGACAGGCGAATGTAACTCCAAACGTAGACGCTTTTTATCCGAGCCAACACCTCGCTCGCGTAAGAAGCAGCAAAACGCGCGGAGAGCATAGAGAAAGCTGTCGTGGATGTTTAGTGACAGACAGTAATACAGTTGTCCGCTGCGTTTGAATGATTAAAAGAGAAGAAACGGCGACGAGCGGACTTTGGATTTTTAGAAAAAGAGATGCACGTTCAACGCGTTGTTATAAATACGAAATATTTGTGAATGTGACAACACGCGAGTATGAATATAAGAATACGCAAAATATCCAATAGAAGTTTATTGTAATGTATTTAATATATTGTCGATGTAATGTATTCGAATATCAATTGTAAATATGAATATGATATATGAAAGTGTGCAACGTAGAAAAATATGTAAAGTATGCAGTAAAGTATGTTTGTTGAATGTAATATTGAAATAAATTATATAGTTAATTGTACTTATACCAATATAAGTAGTATTGAATACAAACACATTACAATATTAATATATTAAAGTATAAAACATTAGAATATTAGTATATTAAATAATAAAACATTACAATATTAATATATTAAATTATAAAACATTACAATATTAATATATTGTAAATATGTATTATATTGTAAATTAAATAAATTACAATATTAATATATTGTAAATATGTATTATATTGTAAATTAAATAAATTACAATATTAATATATTGTAAATATGTATTATATTGTAAATTAAATAAATTACAATATTAATATATTGTAAATATGTATTATATTGTAAATTAAATAAATTACAATATTAATATATTGTAAATATGTATTATATTGTAAATTAAATAAATTAAAATATTAATATATTGTAAATATATATTATATTGTAAATTAAATACATTACAATATTAATATATTAAATTATAAAACATTACAATATTACAATACATTACAATATTAATATATTGTCAATATATATTATATTATAAATTAAATACCTTACAATATTAATATATTAAATTATAGAATATTACAAACTAATATATTGTAAATATATATTATATTGTAAATTAAATATATTACAATATTAATATATTAAATTATAGAACATTAATGGTAGAATGTACATTATAATTTATTATAATTTATAATATATTTATAATTACTTTTATTTTACATATAAATTACTATATTTTTCATTTTTTCTGGCTTTTTCTTTTAGTATGATTTATACAGTATGCTTCGTGATTTAAAACTAAACGACGAGGATCGACTAACGTAAAATTCATTGCACGGTCCGTTTCACTCGTAACCAAACTCGGTTCCAGAATTCGAATTCCATTCTCGCTTATGTAAACCGACACAACTTACACGCGACAGAAAGAGAGAGAGAGAGAGAGAGAGAGACGACAGGTTATTTCCCGCGATGATCGCGCGGAGTTGAGTAAGGATGTAATTACGAAACTAATATAAACCTATATCGCAGCCTGCAATTATTAAAAAGGGAGCTCGATTTACATTCGAACGCAGGTAAACCTGATCTAGATCTAACTCACTGCTCGCACGATTTCAACTATCTCTCGGCTCCTTTTTTCCTCACGAATCTCTGAAATTTCAAGGATCATTCCTGAGCGCAATTACAGCGTTCCTGGTTGCCACTAGTCTTTCTATTAATTTGACAAATAAATAATGAATTATCGATCGCTTCGAATTTAAATTTTTTAATTTTTAAAATTGAACTCAGTCTTCTCAAATTTTGATTCTTTTTTTTTCCTTTTTTAATTATTTTTTCTTCTATTTAAATATTAGGTGCATAATGTAAAGTACGAAGTATCTATCTCACGACCAGAAGAGTATTAACACCAGAACTACCAGAACGATCGAAATCGACCAATTTATAATTTCCCATAGAAATTTCATAAGTTTATGTACGGTGTGTTTTTAGAGACTCGAGTGAATTTGGGTAAAATACAGATCGATAGAAGCTCGATGCTCTTTACGATATTGCAAATGTTCGCCAGTTCTTTGCACATGAAATTTCTCTGCTGCAAATTTTATACTTTAGACTAGTTAAATCAAGGTAGTTCAGAGATGATCCAACGAGAACGAAGGATAAGAATTGCAAAACAGATTCGAAAAGATTGGGTAGACAGCATTGTGCTGGTGACGCAAAAAGCGCACTTTAGACTAATAATGGAGACATCCGTCCCTCTCCTCAAGTACCCAGTCGCGTCTCAAACTCGAGTTCAATTTCAACGATGAAAATCGCACACATCCGCCCTCTCCTTTCATCCAACCGCCGTGAGAAATTCACACGATCATCCAGCAATAAAA